CTGGATTTTTACGAGCATCGCTCCGCAGTCGCCTGTTGTAGCTCGAGAGCGACCGCCACTAAGGCCACCCAGGGGCATATCGTCATCCACAAGCCTACGCCAGACGCCCAAGCCGACACCGCTGGTACCAACCAGTCTGTGGCAAGAACAACAAAGATGCCGTTTCCCGGTAACCACAATTTGTCCAATCCCCATTGGTCGATGACACACCTGTTTATGCGGTCCGCTCTTGTTCAATCGAACACAAGAGCCGTTTTGGCCATGCAATGGCTTGGCAAGCCGGCCTACACGGTCCAGCCAAACGCAGTCTCACCTGTCGGGGGGGGAGCCACAGGGATTTTAGTTGAAGAGCTCTCCTGTACTGTACCTTCAAACCGCTTGCACAATCGAAGTATCATAAACACAATACGCAGCATCGACCCAAGCCTCAACGTTCCTGAAGCTGGTACGTACGTTCTCCCCCCTCCTCCTTAAAGGGAGTTCCGAGTTTCCACACGCGAAACGAGGGCCATCGCTGCGGCCAGAGAGACCCCAAGGGGGGAACAACAAGCCGGGCAGCTTCCTCGCGCAGCGCGGCGTGAACACACGCATGCTCCCCCCGTGGTGACGAGGACACACGCGCGTGCACACCCACACAAGCGCACGCACACGAACGTTAGGTCGTGAAAACGACATAAACAGGCTCGACCAGAAATGTTTAGAGAAAGTGCCCTAAAAGAAGACAGCTTTACGGCTTCCCAGCCCCTCTTCATCACAAGTATGGCCCATAAAGCAGCAGAAAGATAAACTAGCCTTGCGGGGGCCTGCATGCAAGGCTACGGTCACGTGCTGCCCATGTCCCGACCAGGTGGCCCGATACAACCACGGCACTTCCACTGTAACGACGTTGCATTCCTGCTACACCCCTTGGTATGTACAAAAAAAATCATAATCTGCAAAAAATATATATGCATCTTACACCGACACGCCTGCGACATACGACCAAACAAATGACCGCCGAAGGAACATGGTATTCCCATTTGACATAAGAGGCTCGTCTTCGGAATGTTTGACGAGAAAGACTGTGCTCTGAAAAAATGCATAACCATTACGGCATAGCCGACGCAATAGGGGAACTAGGACAAAACTGAGGTCAAAGTAAAACATGAAAAGATGTGCACAAACAAATCAGGAGATAAGTTACTGACAAATATTTATCGTTGAAAAAAGACGTTCCTTTAAAACTACCGTGAGGTTGTTTTGAAGTGCAAATGCCATCGTACAGAGTGTACCAAAGACAGCGTGACAAATGGCCAATGAGAAGCTGAGTGAAACACGACTTAGCAGTGACCTGCGATGGAAGTCGGACACTTCTTCCCATTTTAAAATACCTTTACAAAAAATATATTCAGATCCCATTAGTGGGGGGGAGGGGGTGGCGATGGGGGGTACTGCCGGCAAAATCTCCTTTTGCATCGTACGTACAGTGAGGGAAAAAAGTATTTGATCCCCTGCTGATTTTGTATGTTTGCCCACTGACAAAGAAATGATCAGTGTATAATTTTAATGGTAGGTTTATTTGAACAGTGAGAGACAGAATAACAACAAGAAAATCCAGAAAAACGCATGTCAAAAATGTTATAAATTGATTTGCATTTTAATGAGGGAAATAAGTATGTGTCCCCCTCTCAATCGAGAAAGATTTCTGGCTCCCAGGTGTCTTTTATACAGGTAACGAGTTGAGATTAGGAGCACACTCTTAAAGGGAGTGCTCCTAATCTCAGCTTGTTACCTGTATAAAAGACACCTGTCCACAGAAGCAATCAATCAGATTCCAAACTCTCCACCATGGCCAAGACCAAAGAGCTCTCCAAGGATGTCAGGGACAAGATTGTAGACCTACACAGGCTGGAATGGGCTACAAGACCATTGCCAAGCAGCTTGGTGAGAAGGTGACAACAGTTGGTGCGATTATTCACAAATGGAAGAAACACAAAAGAACTGTCAATCTCCCTCGGCCTGGGGCTCCATGCAAGATCTCACCTCGTGGAGTTGCAATGATCATGATAACGGTGAGGAATCAGCCCAGAACTACACGGGAGGATCTTGTCAATGATCTCAAGGCAGCTGGGACCATAGTCACCAAGAAAACAATTGGTAACACACTACGCCGTGAAGGACTGAAATCCTGCAGTGCCCACAATGTCCCCCTGCTCGAGAAAGCACATATACATGTACGTCTGAGGTTTGCCAATGAACATCTGAATGATTCAGAGGACAACTGGGTGAAAGTGTTGTGGTCAGATGAGACCAAAATGGAGCTTTTTGGCATCAACTCAACTCGCCGTGTTTGGAGGAGGAGGAATGCTGCCTATGACCCCAAGAACACCATCCCCACCGTCAAACATGGAGGTGGAAACATTATGCTTTGGGGGTGTTTTTCTGTGGGACAGGACAACTCCACCGCATCAAAGGGACCGATGGACAGGGCCATGTACCGTCAAATCTTGGGTGAGAACCTCCTTCCCTCAGCCAGGGCACTGAAAATGGGTCGCGGATGGGTATTCATGCATGACAATGACCCAAAAACACACGGCCAAGGGGACAAAGGAGTGGCTCAAGAAGAAGCACATTAAGGTCCTGGAGTGGCCTAGCCAGTCTCCAGACCTTAATCCCATAGAAAATCTGTGGAGGGAGCTGAAGGTTCGAGTTGCCAAACGTCAGCCTCGAAACCTTAATGACTTGGAAAAGATCTGCAAAGAGGAGTGGGACAAAATCCCTCCTGAGATGTGTGCAAACCTGGTGGCCAACTACAAGAAACGTCTCACCTATGTGATTGCCAACAAGGGTTTTGCCACCAAGTACTAAGTCATGTTTTGCAGAGGGGTCAAATACTTATTTCCCTCATTAAAATGCAAATCAATTATAAAATTTTTGACATGCGTTTTTCTGGATTTTTTTTGTTGTTGTTCTGTCTCTCACTGTTCAAATAAACCTACCATTAAAATTATCGACTGATCATTTCCTTGTCAGTGGGCAAACGTACAAAATCAGCAGGGGATCAAATACTTTTTTCCCTCACTGTAGCCAACCGTGCTAATTGGAGGTGCGGGGAAGGACAACAAACTATGGGTCTTTGTGTGAGTCTATATATGTATGTTCAACTCCTTTTGCAACGTACGTAGCCATCCGTGCTTATCGAAGGAGCGGGCAAACGACAACAAACTAAACACAAAAAGCAGTTCCAAAGAAATGTGTTTTCATATCAGGTCCAATCAAGAACGGGGCAACTCAAAATTTCGTGGGCCAAGCGAAGACACGCGAGTAACGCTTGTTCTCCAATTTACAAGCCGGGAGGGGGGGGAAAACGTGGAAAGATGTACTGTGTGTTTGACTAGGCCTGGATTTACCCATACCTGTACCAAAACAGGAGGGATTATATCCGTAAACACCATTAATTTCTGGGTAATATTTAGATCTTTCGAATAATTTAAAGCTTTGTTGTAAAAGTGACAGACAACATTTTAAACACATTTACAAACAGTACAAAAAAAAAACGAACTTTCAAGAGCTTACAGAAACAAGGCAATAACATTTTGGTAAAAAAATAAACGGATAATAAAAACGTTTGGATCGAATATGTGTTTTTTTTGTTATTTGAGGACTTGAGGTCAAGAGGTCATTAATGGATTGCCACCACACCTGAACACCACTTCTTTTCCCCCACTGCTATCCCCCCCTCGTCCCCCCCCACCTTATCCCCGGCCCCCCTCCCCCATCATCCCTCCTGCCCCTCACCGCCCCCCCCCCCACCGTACCCCCGCCCCCCCCCCCCATCATCCGACCCCTCCCCCCACCCCCCGTCAACCGCCTCTTCTATACGGGATAGAATGTCGCCACGTCACGTGGGGGTGTCCGCTCACTCGTGCTCGTTTGTTGCCCGAAGTACATCGTAATAAATGTGTGTACAGAGGGTTGTAGGGCTTTGGGGCAACTGTCGGTATGGCCCGCTAACCCGCCCTGGCTGCCACTGCCTCTTGTCCGCGGCTCCTCAAGGGACCGTGACAATGGCGATTTCAAATGAACGATGGCGACGCTTTATAGCACTAAAAACATTACTATTATATTGAACAATTTAAGGAGCGAATAGTGTGCGTTAGCGCACACAAGGCCACAGATGAAAAAACACAGAACAATCTCTACGTTGAAAAAAATATATATTTCGGGCTATTATATAATAATTATATTTTTTTCACATAACTTTTTTCATATTGTCATTCAAGAACCCAGGATACTAGGTAGATTTCAAAAAGAGGGTGGAAGCCAGCGAGTGACGTGTAACAAAAACTCGGCTCAATACATCCCTTTAAAGTACGGGATCGACCGGGGGGAACTCCGGGGCCCGCTGCCCTCTCGCGGTCGGGGTAACGATCGGGAGCGGCGTGTTTAACGTACATTGTTGAGATGCAGTTATATGCATGGCACGTTGTTTCTGCGTATCTATTTTGTCATCCTTGTCGCCCCGCCCCCCCCCCAAAACCCTCTCCTAAAATCACAAACCACTAAGCCACGTCGGAGCTTTAGAGGAGCGCTGACTGAAAGTGGTTTGCCAAATACCTAAATGAAGCTTCAAATCAAGATTTTTTTTTTATTTTACTTTACCAGGTAAGGCCCACTGAGCTATGTAGAAGAAGTGACCTGGCCATCACAAATAATAGCTCAACGAAGTGGCTTTATAGCAGCCAAAGACTCTAAACGCTAAACGCGGAGGGAAAAACCAGAGGACCTGGATACAAATCCACACGACCACGGGGAGAGAGACACGCACACTCCAAATATACAGGCGTCAGGGTCGGGATCTCTTGCATACCAGGCGAGGTAACATGAATATAAAGCCCGCCATGCTCAAAGCGAGTTGGTGGTGGCGTTTGAATAGTTTGTTAAATGAGACGCGATAGGAAGCAAGGGCCACGCCCAGCGCGCGACAGTGCGGTGAAGACCCCGACCAGACATCGGCTCACCTTGGGCACATGGGGGTTGAACTCCACAGCTCTGTGAATCGCCTCCACTGCGTTCATCTCTGCTGTGCTGAGCCCCCGCTTGGAGGCCGTCTCTGGGGAGAATCTGCACACGGGGGAGGGGGGCACACGGGGGGGGGGGGGGGGGTAGGGGGCACGCGGGAGGAGTGCCGCACCATTACCGGCCGATCGAATCTTAATTCCTACACTTCGCAAAAAAAACTGTCGACATTTTTTTTTTCCATAAAAAAAGCAGATTTCGGGAGAGTCAGATGGGAGAAACGAAGACGTTTTTAATCCACTCAGGGCTACAGATATGGAGTGCTAGAGCCGACGAGCCCGCCTGCCCGCCCGACTGACACCGGCACGGCGGATCTGTGTGCGAGCCCTACGCTTGGCGTGCGCCAATGTAGTTCAACACTGCCCAACGTAGTTCAGCACTGTGCTCTCGCGCTCCTAGTACTGCCCTCACTGCCAGTACTGCCCGCACTCGCAGCAAAAGATGGAGGCATTCACGGTTGAGCACACAATGGCAGGTGAGACACAGGAGCCATCGCAGCCGGCATCACCACCAACACAGCCGGTGTCATCACCCACCACCACCACCACCACTATCACCATCACAGGTGGCATGACATTCACAGCCAGCATAACCACCACCATAACTGCTGGCACCACCATCACAGCCGGCATTGCCACCACCATAACAGCCGACACCATCACCACCACCACCATCACATGCAAGGCTACTCACTTGTCACAGACTGCCCTGGCTTTGAGCAGTGCTGCTGTGTAACATATTGTTGCTGATTTTGGCAAACTTATGTCTGCAACAAGAATACAAAAATACAGACACACAAAAATTACCAAAAAATACAACATTGCATGTGAAAATAAATATATACACAGCAGCGTTAAGGATCTGCATCGTGTATCAGCGTCAAGTCTACTCAAAACACAAACTGAACCCGGGTAGAATCCGCCAGGGAACTAGGCGTCAATGCAAGTCCGAGCGAAGCCTTCAATAGCGAAAGGTGCGACAGAGATCCGTGTGGCAAGAGGGAGAATCGACGAGAGAGGCGTTGGTGGACGCTTGGTCCGGCCATCACGCAACCACTCCTGAGATGGTAGTGAGGGCTCGGAGAGCGGCTCCCTCACCCGGTGAGCGACCCCCTCACTGCCCTCAGTTCCAGTGCCACCCTCACTGCTGCCCACACTGGCCTCAGTCTCAGGTTGAGGATGCAGTGGCAGATGAGTGAGCGACACGGTGGCAGAGGCACAGGCGTTAACACAGGCGACATAATCACCATCATCACAGCCGGCATCACCACCATCATAATCACAGCCTGCATCATCACCACCACCATCATCACAGCCGGCATCACCACCACCATCATCACAGCTGGCATCACTACCACCAACATCACCATCACAGCCGGCATCACCACCATCATCATCACAGCCAGCATCATCACCACCATCACAGCCAGCATCACCACCACCACCATCACAGCCAGCCTCATCACTACCACCAACATCACCATCACAGCCGGTATCACCACTACCATCACAGACAGCATCACCACCACCATCATAACAACCAGCATCATCACTACCACCAAACATCACCATCACAGCCAGCATCACCACTATCATCATCACAGCCAGCATCATCACTACCATCACAGCCAGCATCACCACCACCATCACAGCCTGCATCACCACCACCATCATCACAACCAGCATCATCACTACCACAAAACATCACCATCACAGCCAGCACCACCACCACCATCACAGCCGCCATCACCACCATCACCATCACAGCTGGTATCACCACCATCACAGCCATCATCACCACCACCATCATCACAGCCAGCATCACCACCACCATCATCACAGCCAGCATCATCACTACCACCAACATCACCATCACAGCCATCATCACAGCCGGCATCATCACTACCACCAACATCACCATCACAGCCATCATCACCACCACCACCATCACAGCCATCATCACCACCTACCACCATCACCATCACAACCGCCATCACCACCACCATCACAACTGCCATCACCACCATCACCATCACAGCCGGCATCACCACCATCAGCCGTCATTACCGTCATACTTGGCCAGCACGGCTTGCACATCTGCGTAGGCCTGTAGCTCCAGGAGAGCTTCCAGTAAATTTTCATGAATATTTAACACATTTGGTAGAGGGAACTCTTTCATGAGCTGCAAAAAAAGAAGCAAATATGCAATTCGAAACGTAAATTATAAACAACGATCGTTAAAGAACACCTCCCATTTGTTTATAAACGTTTTATTTAATTATTGTATTTCGATTTAAAGCTTTCGTGACTGCAATGATTCATCTTCTTTGGTTCTTTCGGTAAAGTCACGTAGAATGATAATAAAATAATAAATTGATAAAATAAAATAACACAATAATATTCTCACGACGTTTCGGCCACAACACAAGCGGCCTTCATCAGGTGAAGGGGGCGTATCTGAACGTGGCTCTTTCACTCCAGCGCTGTCCTACCAGACAGTCTCGCCCCCTTCACCTGATGAAGGCCGCTTGTGTTGTGGCCGAAACGTCGTGAGAATATTATTGTGTTATTTTATTTTATCAATTTATTATTTTATTATCATTCTACGTGACTTTACCGAAAGAACCAAAGAAGATTAATTATTGTAATGCATGTTTCTTTTTGTGTAACACAATTGCCGAGCGCGGACCCGAAAGGGCACCAGAATGTTAAACGGTCAGCAACTTAACATCATGAATAAATGTTGTTTTCTTGACATTGAGCAAGGTTAGTCTACGAGCGTGGGGATGGAAAGAGGATGGGAGGGAATTCCGAAGCGGAGCAGTGCAGGAGAAGAAGCAGAAAGTGTTGAGACCTGCAGTGTGGTGGAGTGGGTGTGTTGAGTGGGTGAGTGGGTTGTTGAGAACGGTAGCCTAGCGGTTAGTGGGCTGCGCTACGAACCCGGCCACCCGGGTTCGATTCCTGCTCACGGTCGACACCAGTGACGATTATCCGAACCGGTCCTGGGCCTCCCCTAGGTCGACTGAGCCTCAAATGAGCACCTTGATGCTGTGTGTAAACATCGCCCCTGGAGAGACAAAGGCGGCCGAACGTGGTGCTGGCCACCCACCCGTGTGCTGTGCCGGCCTTCAGCGGTGCTACTCGCTACGAGCGCTAGCGCCAACAGTCTGTTAAGGCTACAGGAGGGGATCTTTATCGTTGTCTTGCTGAGACCTGCGGTGTTGTGAGTGAGTGGCGAGTGAGTGGGTGGGTGAGTTGTTGTGAGCTGCAGTGTGGTGGCTGAACGCGCTGTGGATGAGACGGGGCGGTCGGTCTGGTCGCCGGTGTGCAGGTGTGTGGCTGTGCGGGTGTGTGGGCTGTGCGGCTGTGCGGGTGTACGATTGTGGGTGAGCGCAGATGTGCACACGCACTCAGAAATAAGTGTGTGCACGCATTAACTGCTTGCCGTCTATGTAATGTAATACAGGCGGCCCTCGAACCGAAGTCAGGTCATCCTCCTAGAAAAAGTGCCGTACGTCGGAACGACGCTGAGAAACAATGATATAATAGGGCGTTAAGTTCCCGACATGAACACAAACTGCATATTTAATCAACTACCAATCACGCAATGAGGTCACAAGCCTCACCCTGCCCTCCCAGGTTCAACGTAAACGACGCAAAGTCTGCGTAGACAATGCACCGTGTCTGCGCCGACGTTCCAGGGCGTCCGCGAAGGTACAGCCCATTACAGGAGGCAGGCATTATAACGAGAGAGCGGTCGGTAAAACTGGAATGGAACAGAGACAAAGATCCCCCGTACAGACTGTTGGGGCAAGTGCTGTTCGCGAGCGCCAGACAAGCAAAGGCAAAAGATCAGGCGATACGGGGGGGGGGCATCTTTTGTCTTTGGTTGTTAGGCGCTCGCTTGTGGCAGTGTAGCGGTGAGCGCGCTGCCAGGCTACGAACCCGGCGACCCGAGTTCGATTCCCGCTCACGGCTCACGCGCTCGGTCAGTTGTCTGTTCGCGCGAGTCTGGTTCCTCCGAGCCCGCCGTCGTGCGGCCCTGCCGGCGGCGCGAGCGACGGACATCGACGTTTCACGCGATCGCAGGTGTGTTCGCCAGACACCTCGCGAGCGTGCGGTCGTTTCAAATGCCTCTCGTTACGTGCTCTTGAAAATCACTCAAGCTTCTCATTTCTTGGCAAACTTTTCCGTCACATAAGCCACAACATTCACCCAACGCCGTTCCAAACTGCTGTCGAATTATGATTCTTTAATAATAATGGATGAGATCTTCATGGATACCCTGTGTATATATATAAAAAGATAAAGATCCCCCGTATAGCCTTAACAGACTGTAGGGGCAAGTGCTGTTAGCGAGCACCTATGAAGGCCGGAACGGTACACGAGGGGGTGGGTGGCCAGCACCACGCCCGACCGCCTTTGTCTCCCTAGTGGCAATGTTTTTATTCACCGCACCAGGTACTCATTTGAGGCTGAGTCGACCTAAGGGAGGCCCGGGACCGGTTCAGATAATCGTCACTGGTGTTGGCCGTGAGCAGGAATCGAACCCGGGTCGCCAGGTTCATAGCGCAGCACGCTAACCGCTACACTACCGCTCCCCATATATACACATATATACACACACTGTATATCTGTATATATATACGCAGATATACAGTGTGAATACAAAGACAAATATCCCTCGTAAAGCCTTTTCAGACTGTAGGGGCAAGTGCTGTTAGCGAGCACCTATGAAGGCTGGCACGGCACTCGAGCAGGTGGGTGGCCAGCACCATGCCAGGCCGCCTTTGTCTCCCTAGTGGAGATGTTTATACGCCACAGCGGGTACTAATTTGAGGCTTAACCGACCTAGGAGAAGCCCAGGACCAGTTCAAATAATCGTCACTGGTGCCGAGGTCGCTCGGGTTCGTAAGCGCAGCGTGCTGCCTGCTACACTGCCGTGTGAATATAACAACAACGGCCATTCGCCACTAAGTGGCGGTGATGTCACCACGACGCTTGTGCCAAGACATGTGCACCTTGAGGCCACGTAAAGTGTCGAACGCCCGCTGACAGGAGGTCATGGGGCAGACCCAGGTGCCACGGGTCGACTGACTAAGATGACTGGCTGATGCACCACCTGTGCCCGCTACTAACAACAACAACAACTGCCATCCGCCACTAAGTGGCGGTGACGTCACCACGACGCTTGTGCCAGGCTATGTGCACCCTGAGGCCACGTGAAGTGTCGAACGCCCGCTGGCAGGAGGTCACGGGGCAGACCCAGGTGCCACGGGTCGACTGACTGAGATGACTGGCTGATGCACCACCTGTGCCCCCTACTGTGCCAACCTGCTGTGCTTTAGCCACCCGGCGCTCCGCTCGCTGTTGTGAGCGTCGCTCCTCCGCCCTCCGTTGTTGTTGGAGGGCGACTGCCTCCAACTGCCCAGTAGCATCCTTCACGAGCCTCCTCCACAGAGGCCGATCTTGACACCGCTGGTACCAGTCATCGGCAAGTCCACTCAGCTCCACGTCCTCCTGTACCACATCACTCCATCTCTTCTCTAGCCCGTGCCGCGCCCGCTTAGCCCCCTCAATCCGGCCAAACAAAAGCTGTTTCGGCATGCGGTGGCTGGGCATGCGGGCTACATGACCCAGCCATCGCAGCCTTGCCTGCCGGAGGAGCTCACCGATGGGACCCTGCCCAGATCTTTCAAGGATTTGTGAGCTCCTCACACAATCCAGTCTGGTTAAACCCAGGATGGATCGTAGGCAGGCCAGCCTAAATGTTTCTAACCGGCGAAGATGTTCCATTAGGGGGGTCCACGTTTCGCAAGCGTAGAGAAGGGAGGGAATGACCGTGGCCGAGAAGACCTGAAGCTTAGTGCGGAGCGACAGACCAGGTAGCTTCCACACAGCGTTACGCAACCGATGAAAAGATATTGCCGCTCGACTGATTCGGAGTGAGACCTCTGCTGTTAAACTGGAGCCAGTCATAAGCACACTGCCCAGGTATGGGAAACTCTCCACTCTCTCCACAACTGCCCCATCACCGATTGGGAGTTGTGGGGGTGGAGTGTCCGATGGTACAAAATACCCAGGCAGGTGCTTAGTTTTGGTGGGGCTGATGGTAAGGCCCCACCTCTTAGTGGCACGCTCCAGTCTCAGCAGCAGCGTCTCCAACTCCTCCTCTGACTGAGCAGCTATTACCAAGTCATCAGCATACATAACGTGGTTGAGCAATAGGGAGCCATCCCTTGACCGCACCCGGGCATCGATTAGCCTCCCATTATATCTGTACCATATGGAGATTCCCCCGGTACAGCTATTGAAGGCTTCACGAACTACGTGGTCAAAATAGATGTTAAATAATGTGGGAGCCAGAGGACATCCCTGTCGCACCCCAAGGTGTACAGGGAATGGCTCTGACTCCCGGCCACGTAGTTTTACCCGGGCCCGCTCACCATCATGAAGGTCCTTAATGATCGTGAGCAGAGGGTCAGGTACTCCAAAAGCACGAAGAACGACCCAGAGCCCAGGCCTACTGATGGTATCATAGGCCTTGACCAGGTCAATAAAGCAGAGATGTAGGTCTTGTTGGAATTCCCTACACCTCTGCTGTAGCAGACGGACAGAAAATATGGCATCTGTGCAGGACCGCCCTTTCCTGAAACCGCATTGGGGCTCCGCAAGCCTCTCCTCAGCGTGCCTGGCAAGGCGATGCTGAATAATCCTTGCCCGCTACTAAGCACGCGCACACACACACACCAATAACTGAAAAGTAACTGAAAGGAAGGTCTATTAGCTGCCTATTGGCTTCAAAAATACAGCACAACCCCTTTTAACGACCACCCCTGTCCACGACTAATCACTTAACGACGGGCCTCCATGCAGCCCAATCTGTAGTGTACAGACGTGAAGTGTATAGAAGTGCCGTGGATAGAAGTGTAGTGTATAGAAGTGTCGTGGATAGTGTAGTGTATAGCAGTGTATTGTATAGTCGTGTCGTGCCTCCATGGAGTCCAATGTGTAGTGTCTAGTAGTGTAGTGTATAGTGTAATGTAAAGTAGTGTAGTGTATAGTAGTGTAGTGTATAGTGTAGTGTATAGTGTAGTGTAAAGATGTGTAGTATCTAGTAGTGTCGTGCCTCCATATAGCCCAATGTGTAGTGTACGCAAGTGTAGTGTATAGTGTAGTGTACAGTAGTGTAGTGTATAGTAGTATAGTGTAGTGTAAAGTAGTGTAGTGTCTAGTAGTGTATAGTGTAGTGTACAGTGTAGTGTCTAGTAGTGTCGTGCCTCCATAGAGCCCAATGTGTTCACATATCAACCATTCCCCTCTTAACGAAGGGCTGTTGTAGTCCCAGTGAATATGTATCAATGCATTGATTAACCATGTTTCTTTTAATATTGTGTTTATAATGTTTGATATCCATTGTTTAAATATTATTAAGTACGTTTTTCGGGCCAAAAAGGTAACTTTCGATGCTATCGGAAAGAATTAATCCTTTAACGTGTATATTGCGTTAACTCGTGTAACGAGCAACATCGTGTAACGACTGGTTTCGTGGTTAACCAATAACCTTCGTTAAGAGGAGTGGTGGGTTACACTGTACGTGTTAAGTCCGAAGTCAAGTTTGGCTTCAGCACTCTTCAAAAGCCTACAAATGCAAACTGTTGTCGAACTAGTTTCAAAAAAACAAAAAGTTCCCAAATGTCGTCCTGAAATATTTGGTGGGGAAGCCGGGGGGGGGGGGGGGGGGGGGGGGGGGGGGGGCGGGGGGCACGGATTTTTTGTTTTTTTTCACTTCACTTGATTGAATTACGGCACCAGGACTTTCCCCAGGAGAGACGCTTCTTGATAGCGGGACAAAAATGAAATGTGCTTCGAAATCACGAGCAATGCACGCAGAGGTTAAGAACCGGAGCGCCGTGCGGGCAGGCGGACCGACTGGCCGACGCATGGGAGACGATGGACAAGTTCGGGAGGCAGACCGACTGGCCGAGGGAGACTGAATGTGGCATCGCAGGACTGAGATCGACGGCATCGACGTGGCGAGGCGCACCGATGCCGGGTGAAGGCCTCGCAAAAGCACGCCTCGCGCCGAACTTCTTCCTCGCGCCGCACGCATCTAAACTGCGCTAACTCGGAGGTGCCGGGGGAGTCGGTGGGTCCATTTGACGCGGGGTTCGAGCGACGCGGCGATGAACATCCGCGCGCGGAGGAAGAGGCGCGCGCCGCGCGCCCGCCCGCGTCACTTACGTCTCTCATCATTTTGACGGCCTCCCTCGTGCGGCCCAGCTTGCGAGCGCACATGGCGAGCCGCCGTTTAATGTACACCAGCACGTTGGTGTCCCGTCCTGCCACGGCACGCGCGCACAGGGAATCATCGTCAGCGCCTATCGCCCGCTTGTCCAAATTTATTCTGATTATTCTAATAAAGGTGCGTTTATAGAGTGCCTTTCCACAAAGTTGCTCACGGCGCTGTACATCACAAAGAATACCAAAACGTGTCCGCCAAGGGGAGGGAAGACAAAGACGTTTAGAAGCGAATTAAGAGAACCGACAGCGAGAGAGAATCAATGCGTCTTGAGGTGGGGTTCAAACCACATGGCCCTTTGTCTCAGAACCGCAAACAATGCTGTGCAGGGCGCTGGACAGCCGGGGAGCAGCGCAACCCTGCGTAGTCCTGGCAGCGCTCCTCCTTTGTAACGAGGGTAAACCACCACGCTCGCTGTGCCGCTCCACGCTCAGTGCGGAGTGCTGTGCGGTGCGTTCTGTGGGGTTCACCCTATACCACGCCCTCTGTGGGGTTCACCCTATACCACGCCCTCTGAGTGGTTCACCCTATACCACGCCCTCTGTGGGGTTCACCCTATACCACGCCCTTTGTGGGGTTCACCCTATACCACGCTCTCTGTGGGGTTCACCCTATACCACGTCCTTTGTGGGGTTCACCCTATACCACGCCCTCTGTGGGGTTCACCCTATACCACGTCCTTTGTGGGGTTCACCCTATACCACGTCCTCTGTGGGGTTCACCCTATACCACGCTCTCTGTGGGGTTCACCCTATACCACGCCCTTTGTGGGGTTCACCCTATACCACGCTCTCTGTGGGGTTCACCCTATACCACGTCCTCTGTGGGGTTCACCCTATATCACGTCTTCTGTGGGGTTCACCCTATACCACGCCCTCTGTGGGGTTCACCCTATACCACGCCCTCTGTGGGGTTCACCCTATACCACGCCCTCTGTGGGGTTCACCCTATACCACGCCCTCTGTGAGGTTCACCCTATACCACGTCCTTTGTGGGGTTCACCCTATACCACGTCCTCTGTGGGGTTCACCCTATACCACGCTCTCTGTGGGGTTCACCCTATACCACGCCCTTTGTGGGGTTCACCCTATACCACGCTCTCTGTGGGGTTCACCCTATACCACGCCCTCTGTGGGGTTCACCCTATACCACGTCCTTTGTGGGGTTCACCCTATACCACGCCCTCTGTGGGGTTCACCCTATACCACGCCCTCTGTGGGGTTCACCCTATACCACGCCCTCTGTGGGGTTCACCCTATACCACGCCCTCTGTGGGGTTCACCCTATACCACGTCCTTTGTGGGGTTCACCCTATACCACGTCCTCTGTGGGGTTCACCCTATACCACGCTCTGTGGGGTTCACCCTATACCACGCCCTCTGTGGGGTTCACCCTATACCACGCCCTCTGTGGGGTTCACCCTATACCACGCCCTCTGTGGGGTTCACCCTATACCACACCCTCTGTGGGGTTCACCCTATACCACGCCCTCTGTGGGGTTCACCCTATACCACGCCCTCTGTGGGGTTCACCCTATACCACGCCCTCTGTGGGGTTCACCCTATACCACGCCCTCTGTGGGGTTCACCCTATACCACGCCCTCTGTGGGGTTCACCCTATACCACGCCCTCTGTGGGGTTCACCCTATACCACGCCCTCTGTGGGGTTCACCCTATACCACGCCCTCTGTGGGGTTCACCCTATACCACGCCCTCTGTGGGGTTCACCCTATACCACGCCCTCTGTGGGGTTCACCCTATACCACGCCCTCTGTGGGGTTCACCCTATACCACGCCCTCTGTGGGGTTCACCCTATACCACGCCCTCTGTGGGGTTCACCCTATACCACGCCCTCTGAGCGGTGCGCTCTGTGCCACGTGCTCTGTGCCACGTGCTCTGTGCCACGTGCTCTGTGTGCCACGTGCTCTGTGCCACGTGCTCTGTGCCACGTGCTCTGTGCCACACTCTCTGTGCCACGTGCTCTGTGCCACGTGCTCTGTGCCACGTGCTCTGTGCCACACTCTCTGTGCCATGTGCTCTGTGTGCCACGTGCTCTGTGTGCCACGTGCTCTGTGTGCCACGTGCTCTGTGTGCCACGTGCTCTGTGTGCCACGTGCTCTCTGTGCCACGTGCTCTCTGTGCCACGTGCTCTGTGTGCCACGTGCTCTGTGCCACGTGCTCTGTGCGGTGCGCTGTGTGCGGCGTGCGCTCACTGTGCTGCGCTTCGTGCTGCGTGCTGTGGTGCTGGAGTTGCTGGCTGCGCCTGTAGCACGATTCTCCGGCCTTGAGCGCCAGCTTGAAGAGCCGCTCCGCCTCGACGATGGTCGTGGCTTCTTCCTCCGCCAACAGGATGTAGGCGGAGGCGCACCTGGCGATCACAGCACAACCACACGCCATCGACTCCAGCACGAAGACCTCCAACCACGCATCGCTGGTACACATTTTTCAGCCCATCATTACGGTGGCGAGATGTCGACTACCTCGCCCGGTATGCAGGAGGTCGTGGGTTCGATCCCGACCCTGACGCCTGCTGTATATTTGGAGTTTGCGTGTCTCTCTCCTCGTGCTCGCGTGGAATTTTGATTTCACATTTAGAATCAACATCACGTGTTTAGAGTCGTCCCCTTCCATGCCCTCTGTCCCAGCAACCAGGGCAACCTTCGGTCAACCTCTGCCTCCAAAAGTTTGGAACTCCTCGTCTCTGGCGATTCACAGTCCCAGCTTCTTTAATTATTTTCAAGTCCAGGATTGAGACTTCCTTTCCCCTCTGCCCCTCTGCCCTAATGAACGGACGTCAACTCTGCCCTGCTCGAGAAACTTTTCTCCAAGTTATAAGAAAAAAAAAACCTCCTTTACACTCCCTCTTGCCCGACCAACATCTCCCGGTTTCTCCAAACTCTTCTCCGGCGTCCGGAGAAAAATGTTTCCGATTTAGAAAACGGGGAGATGGAGTTCCAAACGGTGACACTTGTTCGAATGTATTCGCTTTTATACCGATCGACATTGTCAACTCCGTTCGGCTTCTCCGAGGACCTCCAGAAACCCGCGAGACGGATGACGAGGTGAAGGCCGCAGGGCTTGCGGCAGCAACAACGGTTTAAGTTGATCCCATTTGAGCAATCTTCCTTGAGGGCCATGTAAGCATTCCCTGCGACACTGGGCTGCGTAACAACGAACTAATGAGGTATTCAATGACCGCAAAACAAGACGAAAGCGAATCGGATACAGACGGCGCAAAGGCATCGCGAGAGGCGCCAGCAAACGTTAGGCGCAGGTGCAAGCAAGCGCCGCTTTTGGTTGTCTTATAAACGGTGACACGACGCACGCGGGTCGAAGGAGATGGCGCAAACGCGTGGGAGCAACGGGCGCCAGTGAGGTGCAGGTGCAAGTAAGCCTCAGCGTTTCTGGTATAATGAAGAGGTGGGAAGAGGGCGCAAGCCTATCTACATCCATTCCTCATCGGCAGCCAAGCGAGGCGCACATTTGTTCTGGGAGCCAGGGCATCGCAAAAGTCAAAACTACCCTGAGCAAGGTCAGATCCAAAAACCAACCGCGCACAACACGCACAACAATGCGTAAAGTACAAACACATTTGAACCGTGTTAAAACGTGCCACGGATTATTCTTTTTTTTCTCCGTGTTACAGAATAAACATGATTCAAATTTTTCCCCCCTCCTCCCCACAAATTCTTTTTTTTTTTGGAAACTTCCCGAAATGCCACATTTGCGCCGCTTTGTTTTTTTGACAGCAGGGACAACGACGCGGAACTTGGCAGAGCCGCCGGAGAACCCGGGGCAATGACAGGGCCCGGATTAAGGTTCTTGCAGGCCCTAGGCACTTCTGTTTCGTGAGGCCTTCAGGTGGCAACTTTCTACAATTGGGACTGCCGCCCCCATGTCACTACCGCCGTCGCTGTCACTCCGCTTGTCCCACGCGGAACTTCGCCCAGCCGCTGGACAGATGTCGTCCATCTTCACGCAACCGTTTGAAGATGTTGCTGCTAATTTTGCAGTTAAAACAAATCTCGAAAAGTTCATCTCCGGTTGTTAATTTCTTGCACCTTATGAACAAAAAAAAAGCGTTTTGGAAATACATTGTGCCTATCCTTGCTATATATATAAAAATACATTTATATATCATACAAAAAACAAGGTCAACACTTTTTTTTTACTAGGCCCTGGCACAGTGCCTACTGTGGCCTATTGGATAATAGGGCCCTGGGCAACGGGTGGCCAAAGGTGAACTGAGGGTTGGCAGCACGGGTGACCTTGCTCCGGCTACGCCTGCCAGTGTTGCGATGGACGGTGCTCTGGGTGGAACAACGCAATGGACGGGGCCCTGGGTAGCACTGCCAGATCTGTTTTCAACACCCATCGCCGAGTAAGAACGCTCAGAGAAGACGATTCGTATATATTCCCACTCGTGGGCTGTGCTGGCTTTCATCGGTGCCCGATAACAGCACTTGTCCCAAAAGTATATACAGACTATACGGGGATTGTCTCTCAGTCCAAGCCCCGCCGTCTCTATTTAAGGCCTGACACAGAGATGCTGCTTCACTGTGTGCGTGTCTCTCCTCATGTGTCTCTGTGCTAACTCGTTCTGCTTGGATGTCTTCTATATATGTGTATGCGGTCTGTATTCTATCACTCTCTTAAATTGCATACTTAACTTGCAATTTAACAATCTTTGAAATAGCGTAATCAACCAGACCATGCATTAATTGTGTTTTGACCGACCGTCTGTGTTGCTTTATATGGTTTCCAAATTTTGCTAAACCCTGTTCGATTTAGTGTGCTCCTCCGTCTATATATCTGCGGTTATGTGTTTCCTCTCTCTTAAATTTAGCTCTTCTGTACCTGATGATGATTGCTTGTGTTGCAATCGAAACGTCGTACGCTATTATGTAATTTTATTATTTCTTATTTCTACGTGACTTTACCGAAAAAAACAAAGAGTAATTCCTGCAGTCACGAAAGCATCAAATTAAGTTTGACTCTGCTGCTCTTGACGAAGTTATCTGGCTTGACCACCTAAGTGTGACATTGTAGTCGTTGCTCTGCATCTACATCAGCCGTACGAAAGAAGATTTTCACGCGATAAGCCACTACGTCGAGCTATCATTTGTGGCCAGGTCACTTCTGAAAAATAGCTATCGAGCCGCGTGAGCCTTAACCGGTAAAATTTAAACGATTTACCGGTTAATGTTCACGTGGGTAATGAAGTGTTGCCGGTTCAATAATGGTTTACATTGGCTCAAACGAAAGAAAAATGCAGAGACGATCCGAGCGTACATTCTGTTTCTCATTGTGTATATATAAAGCCACTTCCGAATGTGACAAAACTTACTCAATGTTTTCCCAACGTGGACACAAAATAAGGTAGCCAGCGGAGGCGATGTCTCTACATGGCGTCGGCGAGGTTCTCATCTCTGCGGCATCACCCGGGAACATCCTGAACGCCGCAAAGCATGTGCTGTCTGTCAGCAAACAGTATACCCCACCTGTCATCTCCAGCATGCCCCATGAGCAAGAAAATCATAACACACACTCATCTGCCTCCAGAGCAACAAGCACTCAAAAGTGTCTCTGTCCCATCCCGCGAGGGAGGCCGCAAAAACGTCGTCGAAAAACTCCCCCCCGCCCCCCCCCCCCCCCCCCCGTCGGAAATGTGCGCACGGCACGCCACGCCAAATGGATCCAACGTGCGCGGTACCGCGCCGTGACGTGGCACAAACGGCGAATAATGTTCATTCCTGTTCCGGGCGACTTCACAACAGAGACATTCCCGTGAGAATAGGCGTGCGCTACATTTATGAAACGCTCACCGACTCCCAACCCAACGCCAATCCTTACCGGCACCCCCCCCCCCCCCCCCCCCCCCCCCCCCCCCCCCCCCCCCCCCCCTAAATCAGTCAACAAAGAGGTACCGGTGTGGTCAGGCCACGGCTCCAGGGGCCGGCTGCCACAGCTCACTGCCACCGCCACGGCGAGAGGCCTCGACGACTTGGTGCGCGCCGCAGCCACTGAGCCAGAGCAACGACCGGCTCTCTCCACCGTGGAGAGACGGACAGCACGCACCCCACCACCACCACGCCACGCACCCCACCACCATCCACAATCACCCCACCCACCACCCCCACTCACCCCCTTACCACGCCAAGCACCCCACCACCACCACGCCACGCACCCCACCACCATCCACAATTACCCCCCCTACCACCCCCACTCACCCCCTTACCACGCCAAGCACCCCACCACCACGCCACGCACCCCACCACGCATCCCACCACCATCCACTATCACCCCCCCACTCAACCCCTTACCACGCCAAGCACCCCACCACCACCACGCCACGCACCCCACCACCATCCACAATTACCCCCCCCACCACCCCCACTCAACCCATTACCACGCCAAGCACCCCACCACCACGCCGAGCACCCCACCACCACGCCAAGCACCCCACCACCACGCACCCCACCACCACGCCAAGCACCCCACCACCACCCCACTCACCCCCACCAGCACGCCACGCACCCCACACACGCCACTTGCTCTTCGTCTCGCCCTACCCCAACCGCCACCACCCCCCCCCCCGACCTCCCTCCTCTCATCTTCACTCTTTTTAACTGCTTTTTGTGTTTAGTTTGTGGTCCTTCCCTCCCGCCTCACCTCCGATTAGCAACGTTTGGTTGGCTACGTACGGTGCGAAATAAGTTCAACGTGCGTACGTAAGTGATTGCAGCCATTTCCAATTGTCATTGCCAACCCACGCACTGCAGTTCGCCCGGCCGCCCGCGCGAAATGAATAACCGCGGCACGCTTCTTCTCGAAATGCCGGAGATGATCACTTGAAGGCCGCGTCACTTGTAGTGTGGGGCTGATTAAAACCGTTCAACAGTCGGGAGTAAAAGTGGAACCATTTCCAAAAAATGTTGGAGCGATTTTATTGAACACATTCTCCAATAACACTGCCTTTTCCTTTCAGGGCCACACACCGCTGTTATTGACGAGTGTGTTGAGTTGTTGCTATTTGTGCTTGAGCACCGATGCCAACACAGCAGCAGCAACAGCATCACCAAATAGTTTAGCTACACCTACAGGCGTACCCTCTTACAGCGCTCAGGAAGGGCTCTTGGTAAACGGAGCGCTACACGAAACAGCGCTATAGGTCACTACAATATGGTTCCAATGGAGATGCGTTACTGACAACGCTATAGGAAACAGCGCTATAGGTCACTATAACATGGTTCCAATGGAGATGCATTACCGAAGGCGCTATAGGAAACGGTGCTATAGGTCACTATAACATGGTTCCAATGGAGATGCGTTACTGACAACGCTGTAGGAAACAGCGCTATAGGTCAC